AATGGGCACAAAATATTCAAGAACCAATTATGTTAGATACATGGGAGGTAATTTGGGTAAGAAATGTCAAGTTCACCCAAGCACAGAATTTAAGGGAAATTTTTTATAAAATGTTTTATAGATGGCATCTAGATCCCCAAAAATTGTCTTGCATGTATCCAAATTTGCAGCCAAAATGTTGGAGATGTGGTAATTTAGACGCAATTATTATCATATTTGGTGGACATGTAGGGATGTAAAGGCTTTTTGGATTAAGATTTGGTGGAATACTCAACAGATTTTTAAGAAAAAGATAAAATTTACACCGCAATTATTTTTATTGGGTATTATGGAAAATTTGGATCCTAAAGAAATGAATCTGATGTTGTATTGTATAACAGCAGCAAGATTGCTGATTGCTCAAAACTGGAAGAAAGAGGTATTATCGACTATGGATGATTGGAGATTGAAGGTGTCATATTTTGCAGAAATGGCAAAAATTTCCGCATACTTGAAGGATCAATCTCAAGAAAAATTTATTTTGGTATGGAGAAGATGGATAGATTATATTAAGAGAAAGTATGAAGTGTTTAATTATCATATAGCTTTTGAATAAACATTTTTCTTTTCTAATATTTTTTATATATTTATATATATATCTTATATTTAAGTTTACTATTGTATGTTAGAGTTAAAGTATGGTAATATTTGTTTGTATTATGAATGGATAGCTTAATTTAGACTTGGGATGTTATGTATTTATCCCTGTACTCAGTTCTGGGAAGTCCGGGGGGGGAGGGGGGAAGGGGATGAAGGGGTAGAATTATATAAAATTTGGTGTATTTATATGTTATAGAAATATAATGTAAATGTTTGTCTTTAAGAACAGGAGATGATCGGCTAGTACTCCTAACTGCATCCGAGGTGGTGGAAAAGAAGGTGATGGTAATATAGTAAATTGAACAATTATTAGAATAATGATTTGTCTGCATAACTGCAATAATGATGTGTCTGCATAATTGCTAGAACAATGATGTAATGCATAATCACTGGGAAAATTCACTGGGAAAGTTCTCTGTCAGTAATATGTGGCAACCTAATGCGCTCTGCACATGGATACTTTGTATGTAGCAAAACCTTCC